TGAAACGAAATGGACTGAAAAGTAATGGTGCAATGGAATAGAACAGGCCGAATTAAATTGACATAAATCTGATCAAAGATTTGTCATTTGAATTCGTTGCATAAAACAAAGATTAAATTTGTAAATAGCATAATTAAGCATTGCAAAAGAAGAATAAGTTACTGGAACTCAGTTTCTTTGAATGAAATTTGTCATTTGGACAAATGAATTGAAGATAGAGATGACGTTGAGTCATTTGATGAATTTTTGATTCATGCTGATTTGTGGTTGGTGCTGGACAAATTGGAATATGATATTTAACTTATTTCCTAATTAATTGCTAGAAAATCTCTCTTTCCTTGATTTCTTCTCTTTATGATGCTTACTAGATCAAATCCCAATATATTTCTACTTCTCTTCACGGCTTGCTTTAGTAAAAGATGTTTGCCAAACAACTTTCCTTGATTTAATCGAATGTAAATTGCCAGAACATCGCTAAGAAGTTGCTAAAAAGTTGCTAATTTTTAGCAACTTCCTTCCATACGCTCGACTAGTGTAATTTCCTTAAATGACTTGAATTACTTTTTGTAGCTTTTGAACTCATATGTTCCTTTCTTATTGGAATTCCTCCTTCAATTTAATTCCTACTTCATAGGGATTTAGTTATTTATCTAAATCTTTCCTTTTCAATCAATGACCACATTTGAATTGATTCAAATCTCTGTAAATATATTTAGCAACAACCTTATTGGCTGAAATATATTCACTAGATTTTCTCCTCTTGTCTCTCTATTGGCCGATTTTCCTTGGAACCATGCTGAACACGTGTCGGCTTAAAAAAAAGTACTGAATAAAAAATTTACTTGGAAAGATTATTTTTTATGATCTCTTCAAATTTCTTAATAAACACACTTTTTAAATTTCATAAATGAATGGGAAGATAATTTTGTATGGTCTCTTCAAATTCCATATAAAACACTCATTTTTAAATTCCAAAAATAAATAAAAACTAAATTGGGGATGTCATTTTGTACTCTTAGAACACTTTTAAATTTCATAATGAAAAAAAAAACTTTTATATTCCATATTAATTTCATATTTAAACACTCTTTTTTTTATATAAAAAAATAAAAAATAAAAAATAAAAAAAAAATTCCATATTTTAATTTAAAAAATGTAACCAAAATTTCATTAGACAAGTAATAAAAGAATAAAGTTTATATATATCGTTAATCAAGTTTTTAAAAGTGAAATTGGCAAGTTCTTTTGATTGCCTTCTTCAAATTCAATAACTTATTAAACACGTACCCTTTTTAAATTCCATAAATAAATGGGAAGATGACTTTTTATCGTCTCCTCAAATTCCATATTAAACACCCCTTTTTAATTCCAAAAATGAATAAAAACGGAATTGGGGAGGTGATTTTGTATCGTTCCCTTTTTTCTCAAAAAAAATAAATGAAAACCGAATTCAAGTGAAGATTATTTTGTATTCTTTCTTCAACCACTTTTAAATTCCATATTAATTTCATATTAAACACTCTTTTATAAACTCTATATTTTGATTTAAAAAATGTAACTAAAATTCCTTTTAGACTTGCAAATGCATGAATTATTCCTTTAGTTAAACATCAAAAAATAAAGAAATACTTCCATAACTTTTAGGACCAAGTGAAACATTAATCAAGACCGACAGTCATAAAGTCTAAATATGTCATTAATCAAGTTTTTAAAACAGAAATTGACAAGTTCTTTTGATGTACCCTTTTCAAATTCAATAACGAAGATCATTTTGTATGATCTCTTCAAATTGTTATCAAACATTTTTTTAAAATTTCATAAATGAATGAGAAGATGATTTTGTATGGTCTCTTCAAATTCCATATAAAATATCTCCTTTTAAATTTAAAAAATAAATAAAAATTAAATTGGAGATGTCATTTTATATTCTCTATTTGAAAACATTTAAATTCCATATTAATTTCATATTACAATTATAATAATTGTTAGTAAAGAAACATTTAATGTAAAGTATTTAGTGCAAATTATTTTGTATTTTTTAAAAATCTAAAGATGTTAAGAAAATTCCTTACACTTTTAGAATAGTATATATAGATATATAGATATATATGCAATGGGTTTTTGTTATAAAATTTATTTTTATAACATTTAAATAAAATGTTTTTATTCAACTATCAAGCATAAAAAATTATCAAAAATATAAAAAAATAAAATATATGTACATATTGCCTAAATAATTTAATCAACAAACAATTTAATTATTTATTTCAAAATAAAACATTACACAATAAATATTCCATTACATAAATTTCATAACACTTAAAAAAAAAAAAAAAAAAAAAAAAAAAAAAAAAAAAAAAAATGTAACATAAATTAAACATTTTCTTCACCAAAGCGGTTCCACAAATTTTTCAATTAAATCTTTCATCAACCGTGTATTTGTCTCTTTGTTGCGAAGACTTAGCGAGAGTAGATGTGTGCCACTAAGACCGATGGATTTTGGAGGAATCAAGATTGTCTCCTCCGGTGGTGCATTCCATCTTCCAACATTGGCATAGCGCTCATCTTCAATGATCATGTTGTGAAGGATGATGCTCTTTATCCCAAAAACACAGTAGTCCTTGCGTTCTTGCCCACCTGATCTACAAGACTCCAAAAGTTTGTTCCACATCTTTCATGCAGGCCTATTATCTCTGAGCAAAAAGTTTTTCTTTTAATGTAGTTGGGTGTGGGATGGTGTGCATCAAAGTTGCCCACTTAAGGTATATATCATCATATAGGTAATACCCCATTTTATGGTAATGGCCATTCACAATGAAATTAACCGGAGGAATTTGGCCAGTGACGATACTGTCGAATACTGAAAAATGATTCAACACATTATTATTATTATGTGAACCCGGCATTCTAAAGAATGCATGTCAGATCCACAAATCTTTTAAGGCAACTACATACAATATAAGCGTAGGCATATGAGAACGTCATGTGTGCGTGTCATGCCACAACACCGGACAATTCTTCCACTCCCTGTGCATACAGTCGATAGAACCAAGCATACCCAAGAATCCTCTCTCCTCCCCTTCTCAAAGTAGCCGTGCAATGTCGGCTTCGTTGGGTAGGTGTATGTACTCTTCCCTATACACACCAACAACAACCTTACAAAATGTCATCAAGGTTTCAAGGGTAGTGCTCTCGCTGATTTTAATATACTCGTCACAATGATCGGTTGCACAACTATATGCGAAAATACATATTGCAGTTGTCATTTCCTGTATAGAAGACAACCCTAAACCACCTATTGCATCCTTTTTTTGGACAAAGTCGTCGTCATAAGCTTTAACATAATTCAGGATACGAATCGTCTGTGAAAGTACTCTGCTGGATATGTGCATTTCTCACCAAAGTAGTCTTTCATTAGTTAATGGTGGCTTCCCTCTCGATCACGATGAATGTACCGCCTCTTATGCGATTTAAAGACTTGTTCTACTGTCTCTGGGTTCACTGAATTCAAAATTGAACTAAAAACATCTTGATTTTGTTGAATCAACGCATCAATAGGGTTATCTAGATGAAGAGGATGATAAAGAAAATGAAGAATTAGAGCTTGACAAAGGAAAAATTCGTGACGAGGAAGCCATTGAAATTTTGAGATTGAATGAGATTTGAATTGATATTTTGCTAGAATGCTAAAGATGAATGTAATGATGATGAGATGAACAAATGATTGTTTATATAAGATGAAAAATATAGCCGTTACAAATATAGCTGTTAAGAAAAAGTTAAAAAAATAATTTATTAAAAATATATTAAAATATTAATATTTTTAGAGAGTGAAAACAAAAACCATTGGAGTATATGTAATAACTAAAATTGTTGGTTTCATTTTAAAGAAAATAAAACCCAAAAATGAAAATCATTTTGAAGAAAATTTAAATTTTCATAAATTATAACATCACTTTGCAGAAAAAATAATATTAATTGTTTATTAAATTTTCATAAATTATAACATCACTTTGTGGAAAAAATAATATTAATTGTTTATTAAATATCTTGCATATGATTACAACAATTAAGGTTTTTCTCAATTATCTGCTGTCAACTACATCAATATCATTTTTTTTTTATGTAAGGCCATCCATAGTTTTAGTCAATCTACATCCTATCATATTTTAACTTTTACCAACTCCTCCACCGACGCTAATCTCTTGCCCTAAAATTACCTCAATATGAATTATGTCACTTTTTCTGACTAACACTGCACATATGATTACGTAGTTGAATTAATGCTCATCATGACATTTTACAAAATACCTTAATATAATTGCCAATTATGTTATTAAAATTTTGTTTTTTTTCTTCTTATAAAATGATCAAAGGAAATTGAAGCTTTTAATAAAATTTTGTGAATGAAGTTTTACTCATAATGTATAATATGTAAAATTTTCCATACATGAATCATATGATTTAAGTAAAAGATATAAGTATTATTTATTAAATTTGAAAACTACAGGACTTGGATCCTCTAACAAAGGTGGAATGTTGATCATGGGTGTCCTCATTCAATCTCCAGCACTAGTTGCATTATCAAGTAACGAGAGTTGTTCATTATCGATGAGTTTTCATATGATTATTCAATTTCCATCTTTAATGGGGCATAAGATCTCTTTATCCTCTCTTAGATATGGTTGTGCGATCTCCACTATATAACAGAATCCAAATCGCACACTATAATAAGACCTAAAATTAATTTTGAATTTATTCTCAATATTTTTTTTGCTTTATCCACAAATTTAACATTTTGTAGTCATTGATATATCAAATAAGAAAGAAGATTAGTTGTAACTCAACACCATCACATGACATAGGAAGGATTGTACGTTGAATGTCTTTGTCAGGCTTGTAAGTTATTTCAATGATACTTTTTCAACAAACCTCACATGATTTTTGCGGCCTTCATTAAATTCACCCACTTTTTTTCCATAAAAAGCAAAGCATCTCAATCTTCCACACACACTCACTTCCCTTCCCACTTACAGAGAAACAAGCCAACCCTAAAAATCAACAACCCAACAATCATCATCACAAGTTAAACTCAATCTCTCTCTCAAACTTCTTCCCTTCCCACTCACACAGAAACAATCAAACCCTAAAAATCAACAACCCAACAATCCTCACAAATTAAACTCTCTCTCCACTCTCTCTCAAATTTCAGGAAAAACATAAAACCCTAAATAGGGACAAATGTCGGATAAGTAATCTCTCTTTTCTCTCTCTACATATTCACACACACATATATATAGATAGATAGATATCATATACATGTGTTTATATGTTCTCTAATTCAATTTCTCTCTCTCCTCTTTCAGAACCGAACCTACATCTGCATCTACAACCAAAGTCCATGTGACAGCCCTAGACGGCCTCGTCAATGTCAACTCTCTCTTTACCGTCGCCGTCTTCATGGGTCTCTCTTTCACCACGCCGGGCCAACGGAGCCTCGAGGACCGAGTGCACTGCGACGCAGACGCTACCGTCGCCAGGAAGCTCCTCGTGTTCGAGGTTGTTTCGTTCAGCTTCTTCCTCTTCTCCTCCCTTGTCGCGCAGGGTCTCAAACTGGCCATCAATCTGTTGAACAGCAACGACGTGGATAATGCCACTAAGGCACTCATTAACCTCAAGGCCCTCAGATTTGGGATGTTGGCTTCGGCCTTTGGATCGGTCATGGGTTGCGTGTTCTTGATGCTTTCGATGATCAATGTGATCCAGATTCGATTGGGGATGTTGTCTTGTGGGAGCAAATCAACTATTCATGCGGTCGCCGCGCTGGTTATACTGGTTACATCTGCACTTTTGATGTATATATCCACAGCTATATTTATTTTTATTAGGGGTGGTAAATTATCACACGACATAAATTAAAAATGTTTGAGTTTGACATAAATGGATTTGGGTCATAAAAGGTTGACAAAATTAATAGTTTATTTACCCGTGTTGGGTTAGGATTGAGGCATTAAATATGTGTAATTCGTTTATAACCCATTTAACTCAACATGTTATAATTTTACCTTTTTAAATCCAATTATTATGAATAGTGAAGTCATTTCAACATAAACTTTATCTTTTTATTTTGAATATTTGGGTTAATTATGACATTTTTTTTTTCTATTATCTAGTATTTGACAAAATATTAAATGTGTCATTTTGATAAACAGATCATTAAATAGGTTAACACGTTTATCTGTTTAACGTTTATCTGTTTAATAAATGGGTTGGGTTGGGTTAGTATTGAGAATTATTGACACGATTATTAAATGGGTTGGATTTAAATTTACCTATTTAATATAATATCCTTAAATCGATACGAACACGAATTACCACACCTAACTTTAATGCACTAAGTGAAACTTGTGAGTCCGTGTTTTGTATATATCTTATTGAATGTTCAAAATGTAAAATGTACTTCGAGTATGAAATTATGCACAGGAAGTGTGGTTCTTGGATGATGTTATTTTTGGAAGATTTGGTCTTTGATTGTCTGCAAGACAAAACCCTTTGGCTTCAATTGATGCTTAGTTATGTGCATTTGCCAAAAAATTTACTCCTGATAACATTTACTTGAGACATAATGGATTAATTATAAGCAGATTAAAATGATGGATTAATAAAAGTAGATTACTGTAAAGTAACTGGGTCATTTTTATTATTATTTTTTTTTTTATCCTGACAAACAAAGAGAAGTAGCACATATCAAGCTAAACAATCCCGAGTTGCTATAAGAAAAACATTATGAAAGAACAACATCTCTAGAAAGAGAACCTCTGGATAGTGCCGCTAAAGCATGAGTCACCTCATTGCCATGCCTATAAACATGGCGAAGACAAGCTGAGGAGAAACTCCGAAGCGCCACATGAATATCAAAGGAAATGGCATGAATATCAAGTGGTCCAGAATCGACATTCAAAATAGCATTAACCACCACCAAAGAATCAGATTCAAACTAAACATGATAAAACTAAAAAGACAACGCCCAAAACACAGCCTTACGCAGACATATAGCCTCAGCCAACGTCGTAGTAGAAACTGGAAACGGACTAAAAACCACAGCCTTCAAGATAACACCTGAGGAATCACGAAAGACAACCCCACCACCCCCCACTTGGGAAGATTGATGAAAGAACGCATCCACATTACATTTGACAATACCTGAAGGGGGAGGCAATCGATATGATAATGAAGATGAAAATCATGAACAAGAGGAAGAATCAACCCGCCCGCTTGACAAATAGCACTGTGAAACATGAGATGCCTCCTTGAACTCCCAAAAAAATGAACACGCCATCCCAACCACCCGATGAGCATCCCAAACTTCCTTAGTAAACAGAAGTTTGTTACGAGCCTTCTAAATAAACCAACAACAACACACAACAAACCCCAAGACATCGGACCCCCTCTCCTTTGGCATCCACTGTCGAGCCACCAACCACTAATCAGTAAAGGAAGAAGGGTGAACCACAGAAAAATCAAAATGAAGTGGGGAGAACATCCAAACCTGAACTGAAAAGAAACACTGAAACAGTAATTGTTCAAGAGATTCCACCTCTAAACCACAACGCGGGGAAATAATATACACATCAAGACTGCGACCAACTAAGCATTCCCGAACCGGAACAGCTAGCTTACAATACCTCCACAGGAGATGTTGTAATTTTGGCGGAACCTTACATGACCATATACTATCCCACAGAAACTGACAGGAAGAAAGGGAACCAGGAATAATCGATGATCTCCTCCCATAACATAAAAGGTTGTAAGCTAATTTATAAGCGGACTTTACCGAAAACAGACCATTAGACTTTAAATCCCACGCCAACCTATCCGTTTTTGAAAAAAAAAACTAAAACTACATTTAAGGATTGCATCAACAGTGGTTGGCGGAAATAAAGTACAAAGCAAAGCCACATTCCAGCCATGAGACAAATTATCCAACAGCTCAGCCACAAACTGGGGAACCACAGAAATTACTGGCATTAGAAGTGGAAAGAGTGCCCTGGAATCCAACGATCTGAGTAAACCAAATACTTCGTCAGGCCTATAAAGGATTTAATCCCATAGAAGCTTCCAAAAACGAACAATGAGGAAAATATTTAGCTTTAAATAGATTAAACGCCATCCCTTAATGAAGAACCTGAAAGTTCCAACCATGCTTAGCCAACAAAGCTGTATTGAAAGTTTCAAAACAATAAAAACCTAAACCCCTATCCTCTTTAGGCTCACATAAAGACTCTCAGGCTACCCAATTAAGACTCGAAAAAGCTCCCGATTTAGCCCACCAGAATCGGCAAGCATACCCCAAAAGAGATACACAAATTTTACGAGTCAACTTGAAGCACGACATCACATAAGTTGGTAAAGCACCCAAAACCGCTTTGATTAACACTTCCTTTCCAGCGGGAAACAGTAATAGAGATTTCCAGGAGGCTAATTGATCAGACACTCGCTGAACAATATAATGAAACACATCCCATTTAAAACGACTAATAAGCGCCAGCATACCCAAATACTTAGCACATAGTCCTTCCTCTCGAATCCCCAAGATATGACATAAGCAAGATTTGATGTCCACAGAAGTATTTTTGGAGAATATGATAGATGATTTAGAAAAATTAATCTGCTGCCCAGACGCCTTTTCATACCGCTGAAAAAGCTTCTTAAGAAAAAGAATTTCTGCTGTAGAAGCCTGACAAAACAGAATTGAGTCATCCGCAAAAAATAAGTGGGAGATAACTGAAGCCTGCGGACATATGTGAATACCTGATAAGACTTTATGTTGAATTGCCCGCTGCAAAGATAGAGAAAGGGCTTCTGCACACAAAATAAATAAATATGGAGATAAAGGGTCTCTTTGGCATAAGCCACGAGTGGGTTGAAACATCCCCACAGAAGTCCCATTAATAACCATAGAAAAGAACACCGTAGAAATATAAGCATGAATGAGCTTAATCCAATGAGGATGAAAACCCAATTTAGCAGGCATGGCTAACAAAAAAGTCCATTCAATTCGATCATAAGCCTTACTCATATCAAGCTTCAAAGTAAGAAAAGTATATTTACCTTTACGCTTATTTTTAAGATAATGCAAAACTTCATGCGCAGTTAAAATATTATCAGTAATATGTCGCCCAGTAATAAAAGCACTCTAGGATTCGATAACAATAGAGGGAATAACCTTTTTTAAACGGTTGGTAAGCACCTTAGCGACAATTCGGTAAGAAACATTACATAAAGAAATAGGTCTATAATGAGATACTTGGGTAGGGGCATCAATTTTAGGAATGAGCACAGTATTAGTATGATTCATACTCTTAAGAAAATAACCAAAATGCATAAAACTTCTTACTGCAACAATGACCTCATGTTTAACCAGATGCCAATAGTGTTGATATAATGAGATACTTGGGTGGGTCATGGTTATATTCTAGTCTTTGTGGATAAAATCTTAATATTCGGCAATATTATTGTACATCTTCTTCATCATTTAAGTGAAAAAAAAAAAAAAACCCTTAAGTTAGTCTGCATTGTACCTTACCCTGTGCTATACCTATTTCAAGGATTGCACCATGTTGATCATCAATCCCTAGGGGAAGGAATTTCAAAGGACTATTTTATTGAGAGGGTTAAGTGCAAAAAAACACTTCTCAAGTATGTTTATAGTGCATATCACACCCCCTCACGTGCAAAAAACACCCCATCAAGTTTCAATTTGGTGCAATTAGGTCCCCCTGACACATTTAAAATTTAAATTAACCAAATTACCCTTATTAAATAATTTTATAAAATATATAAAAATAATTTTTTTGTAAAAAAACCAAAAAAGGACATTAAACATTATTCTGCAAAATAATTTATAACCCCAATACAGAAATGGTTGCAAGAGATCGACGGTTGCAGAGGGCAGAGCCTTAATCGAAGGTGCAGAGGGCGGGGAAAAGATCGACGATTGCAAGCATGATGACAGAACGATAGCAGTGAGTTTTGGCGCCGCCGAAGGTACTGGCAGCAGCGAAGACCAACCAGCGAAGGTACTGGAGGCACTAATGGTGGCGATTGGTGGCGGCAACATATTCCTTGGGGATTTTAGAGACGTCGCTATCATACACACCATTGCTCCGGCCGAGATTCAGATCGGAGAAGCTTCTTCGCTCCGGCCAAACTCCGGTCTTGAAAACACTGATGATGACATCGGATCCGTAATCAAATTTCGGCCAAGGACCGCTCTGGTTTCTGAGACTAAGAAATTGCAGTGAGTGTGTGGTGTGGCGGCATCTCGGCAATCCTCGAAGGAAGGGAAAAGGTGAATGCCATGAGTACCCTTAACCACCCACTAATTGTGATTCTGTTCTTCCTATATGTGTAGTCTGATTAACCTTAAACCAATGAACATGTAATTTCGAAGAGAGAGAGGGCAGGGGTGAGTGCTTTGATTAAACTTAAATCCAATGGATTTTATAGAGAGGGAGCAGGGTTGGACGAGTGAGAAGAGAGTGGTGATGGCGTGAGTTGAGACTTGATGGTAGAGAGAGTAACACTGTTGCTTTGGGCTTTCGCCTTTCATTGGTCTGTAGTTCTTATGGTTAGGTTTGAGGAGGACGGATTAACGATGAACACTGAAATTTTCGGCGTGAAGCGGATGGATCAACGGTGGAGACAGCAAGCATGGACGGCAAAGGAGATTACAATGAAAAGGATGGTTACATCGGCATTTTAAGAAAAATAAAAGGGTAAAATGGGTATTACATCCCTAATTTATGTTAGATTTATGATAGAGGGGTAATTTTGCACAATAGCAAAAGATTAGGGGTATTTATTGCATATTTTTTCAAATAGGGATAAAAATGTTACGAAAGGTAAACTTCAAGGCTGTTTTCTGCACTTACCCCTTTATTGAGAGGTATTGCACTCCAATTGTTTTATTCGGCTAATAGCACAGGGCTGCAAGTTGGGCTGGCCTAACCCAAGCTCAACCTGAAATTGGGTTGGGTTGGGTCAGCCTGAATTCTACCCAAAATG